TGAAAGCATGTGGGCAGACTTGGAGCGGAGTGAAAAAGTTGGCAGAAAACCGAAGGCAATGGAGACGCGCAGCTGAAGCCCTATGTTCCTCTAGGAATTAAAGGAAATAATAATAATAATAAATGCCTTCAAATATCATAGCTCAAGATTAGATTTCTCAGAACTTAAATTTCATTGGTGACAATTTAACTTGAGTTACTGTTGCCACATAACCATTTTGCTCCATGGTTCTGACGTATAAATAGCGCTTAAAATCACCATTCAGTTAAGAATACTTTAAAGTTGTTTGGTAATCAATTAACAGCAGTCATGTATGAACCAATCAAAATCACTTGAAGCAATACGGGATGAATCATTGACTGATTGTATTATCATAGAGAAATTATTTCCTTTTCAATTTAGTTAATGTCTCTTTTTTGTTTAGAAATGTATTCGTACAATGAACAGCATTCCTCAAATTATGCGTAACATCAAAATTGTCACTTGGCACTTCAATTTTGCTCTCTAATTTTAAGACATCACTTGAAAGCCATACGGATATCGATCTTAAAACACTTTCCTCCATGTCACCTTACGAAGGAGTGATTAATTATGTGTATTCTTAAGAAGTATTCGTAGAATAGGTTTCATAGACACATATGTATCTCATTTTACGTTCACCTATCTGCTGTTTCGATCTTCGATCCTGTGATTTTTTGATCACATTGTATTAGATTTTGTTCATTGCCTTGCAGTTCAATAAAATCCATCATTTGCAAATTTCACAGTTCTAGGTGGAATTTCGTCAATTGCTTCGATAAACCTGAAGTTTCTAGATTGCAATATATAACCTAGATGTTACCGTAAACTGCATCTAGAAAATTGTAAGGTGGTATATTAGTAATTGATATGAATAGCTGAAAACTACTCACGTGAACAAGTACTGCCTGCTAATCGATCCGGGTAATCGAAACACTGAATTATTGTAGTTTAGATAAGCGAGTCAATTCAAAGCACCTGGTTTTCGGTTAGTTACTTAGACATTGATTCAAAAAACTGATTACTCTACATGAGGTAGGTAGGCTTGAAACCAAACGAGGAAAACAGTCGTTCAACGTTTAGATTACCGTATTCTGCTTAGCAAGCCAAACTGGTTGACGTGATGGGTTCCTAAGCGTTAATATCAATCACTATTATATGTCATGCCCTTGTTTTATGCTATGAAAGTCTTTGTTTTGTCTTTATTGATGGATTTACAGTTGCTGTGCGTGGTGCTTATCAGTTTTTTGTTTTTGATGTTGGCGGTAGTTTTGTTAAGTGTTCATCTTTCTTTCATGATCGCTAGAGCTTTCGTATTCGTCCTATTGGCATTGTTTCACTTTTACTAAGTAACATTTTAGCAGACGTTTGGAGATCTCTGAATGAGTTCATCTGCGATTGGTTCCTCGGTGCCTATATCCATATGTTTATTTTGGTATTGTACTTGGTTTGTTCAAAGTTGGATGTTCTAAAACTTCAAAGTTTCAATTCATTACTTTTCATGACTCGTTCTCCGTGAATACTTTCCGCAATAGAGTCACTAGACTGGTTATTATGCTGGCTGCTTTTAGTGAATAGCTGTGGTTCTGTAGCCTGTCACATGAAGAAACTGCACCGAGTAACTGAGTTCTAACTGGATGGCAGCTATCATAGTCCTAATATATGATTTTATAGGCTAAATTTTGTTTTTCCCCCTCTTGGTTTTTGAACCGTTTAGGCTGTACAGAAGATTTTTGCTCTCTTAACTACAACTATTCTAAACAAATGTATTATTCTACCTGTCCTTGGTACTTGGAGGCATTAGTTTTTTTTTACTTATTGCAGTAGGACTTCTAGGTTTTCCGGTATCACATGAACATTTTTTGACGAAATATCTGCGGTATTCATTTCCTTGTAGAGAGTTTTCCTTTATGAATTTGAATGAAGCAAGAACGACAATTGGTGCAGAGGAAAATGGTACTATCATTTTTCTCGTTGTCTTCTGATCATAAGTTTATGCACATAGAGTTAGTTTTAACATACTTAAACAAAGAGTTGAAAATTTTAAACAAAAAATCTCTGTGTGTGTGCATACAGAAGTAATAATAATCACTTTTCAAGTATTGGCTTTTGAAGGTATTTTGTTTGATTGAATGGAGGATTTCATCATGAGCTGACATCAGTTAGAGAACCATTGGAAAACTATCTGGGAGTACTGGACAGCTGTTTCGTCCTAGTTTGGGTGCGTACCGATGAAGAGTCCAAAACTAAGACGAAATAATCACTTTATTCCAAACAACAATAATAATCATGCAGGACGAAATTTTTAGCTTTAGGTAATCAAACGAGAGACAGAGTAAGAACATTCAGTTACCAGGAAAAGGAAAGACGACTGATAACCGCTTCTTTTTGAACGCATAAGTTCCGTTTCAGGCGCTTGATGGAGATTGCTTCAGAGAACCTGAGCAGAACTGAGATTCCATTACCCATTGATCATTTTGAAGGATCTTGTGACATCCACCTTATGACCTGTTTCAAGGAGAGGCCTGACAATGGCATTTAGTGTTAGTATCTTTTTTTTTAACCTGTATAGTATAGAAGTGAGTTTCGTGTATTTCATCTTAAATAACAAGCCGTTACTTTTATGGAGGTGACAACTTTTCTTGGTTATTTTCAAGAACGTAAATTGTCTTCTAAAATTGTGACTCACTGAATTAGTCATTTCCACTTTAACTGTTGCGTCACTGGCTAAAAATCTTTCCCACTTGCTCTGAGGAAATCACAGTGTAATTATAAAAAAACAAGGTCAGATTTTATTTCATTAAGAAAAATTACCGATCACTTGAAAATAATTTCTTGATGAATTCACCAATAATGTGACCTCTGAGATCTGAGTCATTGAATGCCTTGGTCAAAGAGTTTACAACCCGCTAGCTAACTGACAGTAGTAGACGAATTCAACTGAAATTCAACAAACTTAGTGACCACATCCGTCATTGTGAAAATGACTTGTACAGATCTAAATCTCAGAAGAAAAATATAAAATTTCTGAGTTTTGAAGATGAACAAACACATTTTTATTTAACGTAAAACCTAACATTATTGTGTAACATCTCAAGCTGTCATGCTTGGTGCCTGAAAATCAATTGGAATGCAATAAATTTCATCTAAGTATGTAGGACACTGTTAGTCATAAAACATTAATGTAAAGTAATTAAATATTTTTAGTAATAAAACTAATGATAAGACATCAGGTCATGCATATGCATCATGATGCCTATTTCTGAGTTATATTATTACTATTGCATTAATTTATTGTTCCCTTGCCTTCTGAGTAAAAAATTCGGCTTCAACGGCACGTTTCCACTGTAACCTATTTTCTTCGATCCTGTTTAGCTGGCGCCGTCATTGATTGCATATAGTCTGTGATCTCCTTCATGTCATCATCAGAAACCCACCCACTCACTCCTCGTTTCCCACTCAGATTCCACTCGAGGGTTGACCTGGCGCGCAATGTTATTCGACGGTTTCCTCGAGTCATATCATATACATTATCAAACCAAACGTTGCAAAGAAACCTCTCTAACACTCACCAACATGAAAGCAGCTCACTTGTGATTGACTTCAAATATCAAACACTAAACAATAAAACAATATTATCTTGTTCCATGATAAACTTAGTTGTTAGACTTTATCCAACATTATTATTTATTATTTATTTAAACGCAAAAAAAACTTGGTACAATATGGCACCAAGAAAGATGCGCCACACAATAATAATAAAACAACATAGATCGAAAGTAAAAAATATAAGTAGAGAAGGGATGAAGAACTTCATCTGGTAGGAAAACAGTCATACTTAACAAGTTCAAACAGTATTCGTCAACTATCATCGGGAAGGGAAGAAAGAAGGAAATTGCAACACGTTCGCTATTGATTACTATTCTTGGCCATATCCGATAACGTTTCAAGCTATCTTGTGGACCCCAACCAGGGAGTCGTGACGTACCAACCGATTCTAATCTGGCACAAAAATCCTTCATCTCACGACGCCACGTCATGGACTGACCACTCCTCCGCATTTTCCATCCCGTCCATAGGCTGGCTAGCAAACAGAGACCTGTATAGAAACCTCTGGGATGACATTCGCAGCACATGTACCAGCAACGGGAGCCGGTGTTTCCAGATGATGACACTCAATGAATAGTGATCTCCACTGTGTTCAAACACACGCCGCCGAACCTCAAAATTACTCACACGATGATGCCATGAAACGCAAGCAATCCTGCGGAGACAGCGATGATCGAATACGCAGAGTCACCGCACATCCTCAGCTCGGAGAGGCCAGGTTTCACTGGCGTAGAGCAAGACAGTCCGCACTGAAGCATTGTATACCCGACCTTTGACAGCCAGTTTAACGTCACGATGGTGCCAGAGGTAGCTGAAGGTGATGTATGCAGCCCTAGCCTTCATTATATATTAAGCAACTTGACAGCGTCAAATTGGTTATCATCTTATAATTATTTCATCGCATATATATATATATATATATATATATATATATATATATATACATAACTTACTGTCATTGGTTTCGAAATATGTGTAAACTGACTTCAAAGTGTATTCGGCTAGTGATGATACCATCTGCAAGTAAATTTATCATAAAGGCTATTAAACAACTGCTTAGATGCTTAGATGTTTAACTGATGTTTCACCTGTTTAAATTAACATTTTTATACAGATGTTATATGATGATAAATAACTTTTCAATGATGATAATATTAATAAAACTATTTTTTAACTTAATTTTCATTTGTTTATTATTTTATTTTAAATTGACTTTTAGGATTTCAGTGTCAATGATAACCATAATCATAACCATAATAATAATAATATCAATAATGATAATAATAATAATTTGAAAATGAATTGGAATCCATTTTTTGATAATATGAATCAAACAAATAATCATGCACTTTTATTACATCATACAAATATAACAGATGAAAAGTAAGCTAAATAATATCTGTAAAAAAAATATTGATATGAATTGGTTGTGTGTGTGTGTGTAATCGTTAAAACTTCACTTATATATATGTGTATTTAAATCATTATTTTACATAAGTATGTATCCGATTTATAAAGTCCTAAGGTGATAACCACTCGATACATTGTTATGCATGCTAGAAAGTATAATTTATTGGAACTTATTTGTGTATGCCTTAAATATTTGATTAAAATTGACAATGTTGGATAAGATCAAGCAGTGTCGAAGACAAGGAAAACACTCCGTATATCTGGATGACTTTTGTTAAAAATTCCTTCACGTTCCCAGTGGAAAATAGGTCTTCAAGCTAGAGGCTTGAAGTTTCTGTAGCAGTGGTGTTTATTTCTACAGGATGGGGTTGGTAGCCTCATGCTCAATCTTTCCTCTTTACCAGCTTTTTATTTCTGGCTTAGTGAGGTTAAGGGATTGCGTCGGCCGGGGATCGAACCCCAAACTATCTGCATGGTCGGTGAGCGTCCTAACCGCTGTGCCCACCGACGCACATCTGGATGATAAGCAAAGTTAAATTACAATGATCTATTAAATGCCAATGCATAAGTAACCTACCAACCAGGAAGCCGAGTGGTTTTCGCCCGAAAATGACATCTGTTTACAAGAGAATATGAAAGAAAATGAAAGCATATTAAACAGGATATTTTTTCCTTGACATAACTTAAAAAATTTATTTAATTGAATTTTAGATTTTCCCGTCGATTGATTGGACGGAATTGCTCGGTCTCAGGTTGACATATTGGCTTCTTATGCAGATGCTTCGACGATGCCTGGGCATTTAATTAGAATTTAATTGATGGATGGTGACTAGCAGTGGAATCCAAGATGCACATTTCGTCCTATTTGGGACTCATCAGCTGGATGGGCACGGGGTTTGAGCCTCGGTGGGAACATCACTACTCACTGGGAAATGCAGCTACATCCAGATGACGAGTCGCTAGTAGGACGAAGCGCGCATCGTAGATTCCACTGTTAGTCACCATCTACCAATTCAATTCTGACTTAAAAATACCTCCTAATTATAATGAGGAGTATCAGTTTTTATGTTAGACCGGTTTTTGTACGCGTATTCACCGAGGTGACTGAAGATGAGCTCTTTTTGTGACTCATTTATTGCTCTTATGCCTTTTTTTTTCAGTCTTCCCTAGAAGGCCACAATTGAATTAGTATGGGTTCTAGTAAGAAGATTGAAAACTATTTCCTAGAAAAATGAGGATAGTAAAGATTAATAATCCCAAATTTAATGCTAATCGTAACCGTAACCCTAATTAGCTATCAACGCATTGTCCAAACATTACTTAAAAACGCGATCGGGATTAAATTTGTCCCTTGCTTCGTGGACAGCATTCATACTGACTCTATAATAATGGTAGGTCTCGTTATCCAACGGATAGTATGCGTTTAAGGTCATTGGTGCATTCTCAACTTTTGGATCGTGACCGATTATACTCAGTACTGATCAAATAACAGTCTTACAATAAAACTTCTGTTTATAAGCAGTAAGGAATTTCTTGTTCTCGATATACTTTTCTTCGTCCTCTTTCTACCTTTCTTTTTCACTTCTTAAATTGTCAATCAATTATCCTAGCGTGACTTACGAAAAATCTTTACCAACTTGTAATCTTTTCATGTAACTTTTTATGGCATCCTGCTATATGATACTTAGACACATTATTATTAGCACACACTGTATTACTACTGTCAACTTGTGAAATGTGAAAAAAAAGTCCTTTGAAAACTTCACTCAATATTGCTGTGATTTAATTGGATTCGAGCGGGATTACAAGTGATAAATATAATTTTAAGTAAGAAAGATAAGTCATTCTTAAGGATTTTTAAACTTTCAGTGGTTGGAATGGTTGAGTCACTTAATCCAGTATACTATGTTCTGTGGATGAGGATTTTGTTGAAAGAATGTGGTTTTTTGCTTTAGGGGTTCAACGGTAGAATGCTGACCAACTATGCGCATAGTCTGCGATTGCATTCCTGTCCGGCGCACACGTTTACCTTCCCCCCGCCCCGCACCTCCCCAACAGGGTTGTCATTCCGATAAAGAGGGCAGTTTGGGCGTGAGGTTAGCAACGCCACTGCGTAAGAGTACGATTGCTACTAAAACTTAAAAGCTCAAACTTGAAGCCTTATTTTTCAATCGGAATGAAAGAAGGAATAAAAGAAAAAGTTAAACAAATAATGAAAAAAAGTGGACAATGGCCGAATCATAATGTGTGATATTAATCTACGTTGCCTTGAACTAAATGAGAAAGTGTAGTTTTCCTGACTGGAGTCATATTCTCACCACCAAAGTGAACATCCTATTCATTGGGTGATATGGCTTAAAATCAATTGCAGTAACATACTAATGCCTAATCTTCAACTCATCTGAACTGATATTCAAGTGTTGGTTTGTAGGGATTTGATTGGTCACAGGATTTCATCATGAACTGACATCAGTTAGAGAACCATTGGAAAACTAGCTGGGAGTACTGGACAGCTGTTTCGTCCTAGTTTGGGACTCTTCATCAGTACGCACCCACCGGGGTTCTAACCCAGGACCTTCTGGTCACAAGGCGAGTTCGTATACTATTAAGCCACTGGGACCCGATCCAATGGCCCATGAATAGCTGGCATTAGTTAGAGAACCATGTTCTGTCTTTTTTTCCTCTTATTGTCTTATGTAATTCTAATATCTTTATTGATGTGGTTTTGATTTTTGTGACCTTTATTTCATTTTTGTCTGATTAAAAGGTGTTGTTTATTAGATTATGTAACAAAAGGTTGTTTACGGGATTTTCTACTGTTTAAAATATATTTCAAAATTCTACTTTTCTTTCACTTTTTGTAAAAGTATATACAAAATACTTTATTTGTCTTGATTGTTTACCTTAACAGTCCCTTAAAATGGAAATATTCTTGACATATTAGCCTTTTTTCGGTGTTTCATGACATATCCTTCTGGTAATATGTACTTTTTGTATTCTGCTTAGATCATACTAATTCTTATGTTTGAACCCAAGACCTTCTGGTTACAAGGACAAATACTCGCGGATGACACTGACTAGTTGGTTGCGCTACATTGTGAATTGGCAGAAGTTGAAATTCATGCACTGGTCATTGGATCGAGTCCCAGTGACTTAATGGTCTATGAGATCGCTAGCCTTGTAACCAGAAGGTCGTGGGTTCGAATCTCTGTAGTGGGTGGGTACTGCTGAAGAGTCCCAAAAGTAGGCTGACGAAATAGCATAAATTTTATATTTCTGTATTGATTTTAAATTAAAAGAATATTTTATAATGGCTTTACTTATTTATTATTTACTTATTATTTATTTATTATTAATGTATAGATTGCATCCTACCTCGTGATTAAGTTTATAGTAGAACATAGATAAAAATAGGTTCACATGATATTTACCACCTTATCTCGTAAAATATTGATTAAATGTCAGATGTATCATACAGAAGTTTATTCTGCTTCCTTTTTATTTATCATGTTGATAGATGGGACATTTAAGTGTGAAAGATAAATATGCAAAAGTGTTTTTTGTATAAAGCATTACTTGTACTCTGTAGATTCATTAAATTAGCCGTGATCATAGTTACTGGAAATTAGTAAGTAAACAGGATAAACCAATAGAGATGTGTCTATGAATTTGTATTAGGCAAGGAAGAGTAGAAATCTGTTGAATATAACAGAGTACTTGTCACAAAGTACTTTATGGTTGGTTATAAAATTGATTGAAGAACAATATTGATTAAAAGATCTAGCAATGACAGATGAAGACATTGATGACGCGATAGTAAGTTTGGTAAATAATAATCCATAGTTTCTAGCTAAATTATTTGATATTTAAGGTATTAGAGTCATTTAGTACTCCATTGGATGAACTCAGGCGGGGGGCGGGGGGAGAATAATCACATAAAAAGTGATATTTCTTAACTGTGAGCACCTCTGTGTACAGGACAATTCACTAAATCTATTGTGTGTGTGTGTGTGTACGTGTCTGCGCACTAGTATTAATACGTGTTTTCTGGGGAATAATTAAATGAAGAGAAGTACCAACTTGTGATTAACTGTTTCAAAGGGAAGTGGCTACATCAATTAAAGACTACCGCCTAACTTCGGACAAACATTAAATGTCATCAGTTAAAAGACGATTCAGTGAAGAAGATTTTCTCTACCGACAAAATCGTCTTCAGAGGCTGTACAATCGTATTTATGTACGTATTGGCTGCACAAAGCTCACACGCTAAATGTATCTTTGAACATTATCCGGCATACTTAACAAGAGGACAATGTAAGACAATTACTAGCCTAGTTCTTGAGCATCTGGTGAAGTCAGGTCACATAACTCCACCAGAGTCGTCTTTTAGGATTGTCCACAAGGTGTGGTCGAGTGATATAAAGGGAGTAAGGTGATGAAGGAGAATCATGCTCAGGGAGGCTTCGTGTGCTCTTCGAAGTGTGTGGGCGGTTGTTACTTTCAGGATGCCCACACCGTGGAAGTTGACTGCATCTTCGGATATCTGAAACAGAAAGAGGGTTAGTGTTGCGTGATCACAGAGCACAGGGGACAGCTGCTTGAGGCCAGTCACTCACAGCCTGTATGAACTGGTTTCTTGATTTGGTTCCGTGTTAGTAGGCTTACAGTCGGTTACGGACCACTGTAGGGTAGGTCGGGATGTGCAAATCTTTAGGGTCTACTTTTTCTAACCCCCTCTCTCCAGAGTGGAGAGGCAGCATGCTGGTCATCCTGAGGAAAACACCTTACATCCCTGTTCCCCAGCAGTACAACTTCGCACACAGACTCCCAGCATAGTGTAAAAAATGGTTACACTAAGCCGGTAACTGGTTTTAGTCTAATCGCTACCCTAACAACCTTCCTGGTATGGTAGGACCTGCAGGAACAATAGTTCTAGCCAATGTAGCTTGTTGGGTCATTGTGATGTGCAAGCCCGACCACCACGTCAAGGTAGCAGCTATAGGTCGGGAGTAATATAAAGGGTGTTAAGTCTCGTCATTTGTGTTTAACGGAGGTGCCGATGATTCGTCAATATAGCGAAGAACTCCGTGTACAAAAGAAGTTTGTTCAGTCTCTTATTCTACAGTTGTCTTACTTAGTCTATTCCCTAATCGGTTGCTTTTATTTTCAGTAATTAATTAACTATAATCACTTTTGCGAGTTCTTTTTGCACATTTTTTTTGCCATCTTCAAACTCTGCAATTTGACACTCAACTGTCTAACTTCTCATTCAGTAGCGATTTTATCCTTATTAAATTTCAAACATCTTCTCCCATTGACTATTACAAAATTTTTTTTATATTTTAGAAATCCTTTCTGAGTAAATATTATCACTTTTGTCACTCTCTCCATTACTCAATTTTTATTTTTATTCCTGTGCATTCCCAGTGGGACATAGGACGGCGAAGTTAAACTTTCGACACCACTAACTACCAATCAGCGAATTATCCAATGAGATTCACGAACGCAGTTCAACGCTGTAGAGCGCCTGGTTCTTTTCTAATGCGTGACCTTACAAGATTACGGCTGCAATTCGAGGAGTACAGTGTTTTCCAGTATTGCCTGGATTTAGGGTTGCTCCGGAAGGAGCGAACTTGTTCGTGTGTTGGCATCATGATTTTAAAAAGCTATAGCAGATCAACTGATGGGTTTGTTCATCGTTGTGCTGTGTGTTTGAAGCGTGCTAACATTAGAGCGGATAAGCTGATAATTTTAATATTTCGTAGGAACTTTTTTCGCTAGGTCGCATCTCTTCCTAACCCAGAGTTTGTACATCTGCAACTACTGGGTGTTGAAACAGCCGGTGAGAGCAGCAGCTGCCGAGACTGAGAATAGTCTCATCTCAACAGTTTAGTGGTACCAGCATTGCAGAGATATTGCTTCGTGTAAAA